AAACATTCCATAATCCAGAAAATAGAAACTTGCGCTATATCTATAAAGAGAAAAGCAGTTCACAATCTGCATCACCAACTTTAAAAGAATGTTCAGGACCTGTTGTTTAACTTCAAAAAATGGTATCTGCAAGAGCACATAAGTTCTATTATAAGGATTGGCAATATATGATGTCTATGTTTCTATCAAAATGGAGTCTTTTTACTACTGTGAATGGATAGCACTGGCAGCTTCAAGTGTCACTAAAATGCAATAAATCTAACCAGTAGTAATTCCAATTGATAGTATAAAAAACAAGTTCATCATGGACCAGTTATGAGACACGGATCATCGTGACACATAGTATCCTCACCTACATAACTCCTCGAAGAACCTAGGATGAAAAGGACTTTTAAGCACACTGCAGTGAAAGATCGTCAATTTTCGAATTCGATGTCAATGCCTATTAGCAGTATGATGAGAAAATGGCAGTAGCTGTCAAAAGCCATGACCTACCTAAAAAACTCACCAACCTGCTGCATTAAATATTGAAAACATGAAAATGTGCTGCACTTTACTGTGCTCGTAAGCACCTTAGATCTTTCCACCATGATGAAGTATAAAACTGGATCAAAAAGTAATGAACTGATGTGCAAAATGTTATCCAGTTATACTAGTCACTTGTGCTGTCCTACAACAATCCTGCTGAGATTCTCGGTGCTAAACACACCATAAGGGAAGATCAGCCTACACTTTGATGGAGCTCAGGCCTTAAAAAGGGGGTACTGTCACAAATACAGTCCTTGTGACCCTAACCATTCTCATATAAATACCCTAAGCACCAGCATTAAGCGCTGGACCAGACTATACATCACTTAGTCAGGCATTCAAGCGCACATCTGTATATTAGACGGATGGTGCTGATGCACATAGCATATATATTACATATGCTGGTATAGAGGATAGGTTAAAACGGTTGCCTGAAAGGACTAGATCCAACTTATAGTCTCATGTCCTCACGTGGTCTCCAACGAGCTATGCTGCTATATGGACCTATAGCCGAAAGGTGTCCAGCAAGCATAAACGAGGGAAAAAGTGGTCACATGACTAAAAGCCCTTAAATGGAATGCGTCACAAATGTGCTGATCATACACAATCTGACACAATGGATCATATCTCGATCATAGTTCTCAAGGAAACCATTGAGTCCTCAAATAGATTGTATCAGCACATGACTTATCAGGATCAACCAGAGATCGATTGACTAGTCACCTATATTGTGGCCCATAATAGTCATGAAGATAGATCTCATAGCGTCTATAAGACTGAATCATCAAACCCAATCCTAGTCTCATCAGAGACCTGCTAAAGGATCAGAAAAAGGCAGTCTACGCTATCAATATCCCAAAGATACGACGGAACGGCTTCTTAATAGACTTAGCATATGCGACAACCCGATCCCTGAATAGGATCCTTGATAGGGTTGCGTCATTAAGTCTGGGCCATTCCAGAGCTATATTAAGATAGAATATCTGGATCATTCACATGCATCACTCGGCATACACATTACATACACCTATGATGTCATGAGTCCAGAATGTCTCAAGCACACATCACGTGCAGCTCAGATCCATATAACTAAGTCAGAAGTCTTGGATTCAGCTACGAAGATAGAAGCCAAGAAGTGCGGGGTAACCACACACTTGTATTAGTCTTGGCCAATATCAAGTTAGTAAGCTGGAACACTGTCAGCTGTTTCACTGACAGATGGGGATAAGTATTGCTCGGTCAGAATCTCAGATGGAGATATCTTGGAATTCCTCGGTTAAGGGTACTCACACCACAAGGCATGGTCCAATAGATACACATATGTAGTTATATTTAGGTCCTAACTGCGCAAAGGTCATCACAATGTAGTGGCACCATTAGAAGGTATTTGATGCAGCACCTCACCATTGTGTACTAAAGATAGGATTCCCATCTGCCCTCGATCTGTGGGTCCACCCACAGTATCAGGGGTCCTCAGATCTATTACAGAGATCCTAGTACACAGTGTATTATAATAGTAAGTAGGATAGACGGTATATCAGGGTACTCTCCTGCTTGTATATATATCGCTCCCAACTGGGAGTAGATCTTCAGTTCTATCATACTTTTCCACCTGGGGCTCACTCTTTCTCTGAGTCCTGGAGGGACTGGCTAGCAATCCAGGTCAATGATCATCTGACATAGGACTTCAGGCCGCCCAACTGAGGGCCTGCTTGTAGTTGACTCGTGAGAGTCATTATCCTGCCACCACCCACTCAGTCGACATATCATGCTCGACCTCTCCGAGTTGGTTCTGGATGTTAGAGGTAATTCATGTCTAGTCAGGATCACATCAGTGCCGACACATTAGCTTGTGTTCGGAGGATATTCCTGAGTGATTCGTGACAAGATTGGTTTGTCACAGTGTGCTCCACCAACCTCAGTGGGTGAGATGAGGTAAGCTTGGTGCTTTCATGATAAGCCATACATAATTAAAAATTCTCTGAGGATGCTCTCCTTGCCACGTTGTGAATGCTTGAATGTTCATGAATTTATTCAGTTTAATCATATTGTCACGGCGCATCAGATCCTGTGCCCTAAGGCAAGGAAATGGCAGCAAGATGCTTGCCAGCATCCAGTGACCTGCACAAAAAAGGGGTTTGCCCAGGTAGGGCCAAACCAGGCATGCAGTGACATGCAGCCTAAAAAGGGGGCTCAAAGGGCCCTTAGCCTTATGCTCACAACAAGGGGGTGAATTGGCTGTTAGGCTGCATGAAATAGGTGAATGAATCTAAGGTCTTCCCTTAGATCCTCATGTGCTTATATACATGTAGTGGTGGACCCTGGGTACCCTAACTATAGTGTACTTACTGGGGTCCTGTCCTGTCTACATGTGAACATATTGCCAAAACCAGTAATGGTTCTGGACTTTGCTATAGCAACTATCTATATGAGTAGCTGAAGTGGTGCCACTTATTGAGTGGCCAATGGGGGTTCTGCCATAGCACATATTCTAATGCTGGTGCTACTATTTGGCAGCCATGTAGTTGGTGCTGCTATTGAGTAGTGAATTGAGTGCTTGCTATCTTGATGGTCCAATGAGCACAGATAAGCCTATTGTGGGCCAAAGAGTTCCATTCTGGGCAAGTGGCCTGGTGTCACGTGATCAACACCTGATAACTTCTGAATAGAGCAAGTGGCCAGTGTCACGTGACTGGGTGGCTGAATCATGGGTGCTTGGTGGTCATGTGGTAGACACAGTCATATCCGTGATGTATATGGTGATATTGTGCTGTTTGTCTAAGTATCCACTTTGTGAGACCAATATGAAGGTTGGCATCCAAATAATCACTTGTGGTTGCCGAATGATGACTTTATTGATGCAAAAAGAAAGGTGCCACTTAATACTGTGACACATATGTGTCTTGGTCAATATGGCATGTTAGCGCACTTGAATCAATAATATCATTGCTGTGGCTGGCCCTGCCCCTCCTTCTCCCCAGATTGTTGTGAGTCTGCTGTGAGGTCTATGTAGCAGGTGAGTGAGAAATGAAGCAACTTCAATGGCAAAAGCTCCATTTTGACTTTGAGGGCATTGATGGATAATTTGAAGCTGTTAGCTGCCAGCTGGTGTAAACAGTTCAGTTAGAAAGTGAACAGCACAGAGGTGACAGAAATGACAAATGTGGTAAGAGGAGCATAGAGCGAAGACCGTGAACATGACACAAACAAATATGCTCAACACAGTCATGTGAAAGAGACATGCATAAGCCTGCCATAAACACCACATTAATTTCAGGCTCAGGCCAGCTTCTGTGCTTCTTTTTGGCTGGTTTGCAGCTTACTCCCATCATCCTTCCCTACTCTCTCTTTACTTTTCAAAGATCAGTCTATCCACATCCATTGAGCACATATAGTCATTTTTTGTTCTAGATTTGCAGTAGAGGCCCTGTTACATTCTTTCTGTTACTCAAGTTTCAATCACCTTAGACTACCATGTTCACCCAAAAAACAGGCCTTTCAGCTATTCACTCTCGCACTTTTGGTGATGGATACTTGCAACAACATCTTCAGCAAATATGAAGTATCAAGCATCTGTATCAGCATCATTGAGCCCTCAGTCACCTGACATTTCCAGTCCAGAAAAGCCTGAATCATTTGGCTCTAGTGCATATCTTGATTCATCCCTCACCTGGAAGACAAACATGAAGTGCCAAAAACCCCCATAGGAAGAGTGCATAAATGGCCAAGACTAACACATCAAGAGAAGTTGGTCAAGGAGAAATCCCTTTATAGTGGAGAGAGAACCTGCATTATGGAGCTGGTGCCTGCTAGCTCAGGCATTGTTGACTTTATTCACATCATGGGGTAGGCAACAAGTGAGAATGAGGTTTGTTGCACATCCTGTATGTGACCATGACTTTCAGTATAAGTTTGTTCACCAACAGCTTTTACTTTTTGAGTACAATACTGGCCAACTTCCTTACACAATGAACTTGGATTGTAGTCAGAACCTTGAGCACAGTAAGCCCTCAGTTACAAAACTTATAGCTCCCTTATTTATTGTTCTTTCAGTGACAGCAAGCCAGCAGTGGCTATTTGACAAGGGTCACACTATATGAATCCCAGAGGAGGAAGACCTGAATGTCATGACAAAGAAGCTCGATGAGTGTAAAAAAAAACTTCCACCACAATCTCGCCATGTGCATTTTAGTGAGGTATGCTTTGATTTTTACATTCAAACAAGCTACTAACTTTATAAAGACCTTTGAGTGGGGCACATGGAAATATACTGTTATAGTGGATGAGGACAGCCCTTGTTTTGTGCATCACCACAAAGATGAAGAAAGGGAGATCATCACTTCTCCATACATCCTCGAGATCCAGAGCTCTATCCATCCCATTTTTGCATTCATAAACATGACTTCAAAACTGAGAAAATGATGAGTGACAGGGATCAGTGGTGTAAGGGACATCGAAGACTAAGCTACACCATGTTGAAGCAGAGAGAACAGTTCGACAATGTATCAGCTGAAGAGCTGAAGGTTTTCAAAGTGCTCGATTGGAAGATGATGGCCCTAGCAGCTCACGCTCCATTGTTACTGAAGCACGTGCATGGTAAGGCCAGATTACCATACTCAAAAAGGGTTGCCAAGCAGCAACATGTCTTTCAAGATGACCAGTCTGCACAACCAGGCCCATTGAATCCATTGTTTGATGAGCCCATACCATACAGGCAGCAGCACATCCCTGATGATGATGAATCTTCACAATCAGGTTCACCGAACTCATTGCTTGATAAGCACTCTGATGATGATGAGTGTGTGCAACCAGGCTCATCGAACTACTTATTGGCTGATGAGCCAATGCTACCATACTCAAAAGGGGGAGCCAAGCAGTGGTGCATCTCTGATGATGACAAGTTTTTGCAACCAGGCCCATTGAACTCATTGCTTGATGAGCTCATGATGTCAAGCCCAGTGAACTCAAGTGATGATCAGTCTGTGGAAGTAAGCCCATCAAAGTCAACTGCTGCAGGTCGCACAATACTGTCTAACCCCTCAGATAACCTATTCTTCACCAGTGATGCCACTAAACCTAGACTCAAATTGACGAAACACTCAAGCTCCTGGAAGCCTAAAAGAAAAGGAAAGGGGAAGGGAAAAGACCTCTCATGATGGCTGTTCTTGTTTGCATGTAAGCTGCCATGTCACTTTCACACAGAATTGACCACTTTACAAAACACTAGTTCACATTTCACCCACATATTACACATTGAAAAAGTGTCCGTGGTTTCTACATTACAGTGATTCTGCCTTAAAGCCTTCACCATAGTGACTCAGTGCCATGCGCAAATTGCTGCAAAGATGACTGCTCAGATTACACAGACAGTTGCTCCGTTGAGCTCTGCAGTCTCACACATGGCACAAGAGGAGTCTATCATGCTCAAATATGTTTCAGCTGCACGTATCATAACAATAATCTTAGCTACAAATGCAGATAGGATATATATGCTGTGAAAGAGAATTGGAAATGGTGAGTAGACAAAACAACAAGGGCAAGAACTTCACACAGTGGCCCATGTGCAAGGTGGACCAAGTTGATGAGATGAGAGTGATATAGTAACACAATATGTCCTCAGGGGTCAAAGCCAATGCTATTCAGGTGCATATGGTAATGAGGATCAAGCCTAAGATGAGCGGAGTGAGGCAGGTGGCTGCATGTGCATAAGGGATCACAGGTCACTCTTGCCACCTGAGTGGGGTGTTGTGAGTGTTGCAGTATGTGTGGCACTGCTTGAAGTGGAAGATGCAGGGAAAGTTGAGTGGGTAGAAAAGGCAAAGTGGATGGGTGGAAGGATGGGTTCTGTAGTGAATGGTAGAATGCTGCAAGAGCCTGAGCATGAAGGGAATGGAGGGATGTAATCATGTACTGTGAAGTTCAGTGATCAGTTACTGTAAGCACCCCAGACTGCCAGTCCTGCAAAACTGAAATGTAGAAGTGACAGTGCCCAAAGCACATGTCCTGGTGCACTTCTCTCATATGAGCAATCAATGTGAGGCCACGTCCTCTCCATCACACAGCAGCATATGTCAATGGTCTGTCCATGATTAACCCATGGATAAACCACTGACATAGGTATGAATGGTCTGATGAACAATGAACTGTTGCCACATCAGCTCTCTAATCCTTGACAGGCCCAATGAACAGAAAACCCTACATACCTTTCAAAACTGTGATAAAACATGGCTTCTGTGAGCCAAAGTCATCGCCACGAAGTCAAATTTCCACTCAAACAGAATATGAGCCATTGCTGAAAGCAGTCAAGAAAACTCATCCACATTTCTGTTGATTTGCTGATATATTCAAATGCTGCCATCAGCACAGCTGAAGGTGAAAGTGAGGTTTCCTTCTGGCTGAAGCTTGATCCAGCATAGTGAGCTGACCAGATCACAGAGGACACAAGACAATTCTGATGACTGCTTATATTATGCCCCTTAAGGTCATGTTCGAAGAACAGTCCAATGGGTTCATGAATGTGCTATGCAGAATGCTCAGGATTATGAAAATGAGAGATGAGACAGTTTAACACACCACATGCTTTGTAAGGCCAACATCCATCATTGAAAGTGTACATCATCATCTTCTACACAGACATGAAATGGCACTCAGCACAATTCTCATGATTGATTGTCCTTGGAGAATGTCAATGGCTGCATATGAATACTTGCAAAAGTTCCTGAGCTGCAAGCTTGAGCTGTTCTGCAAACTTCTTCAAATCAATCAACTAACCTGGCTTTGCCAATGTTGTACTATCACAGTAGTTTCAGTTTTGGACAGTTCAGGATGGTCTTCAATGCTCCCAGGATTAGACTATGCTAAGTGCCACACATCAGCCTGCAGAGAATCATCAAAGGATAACCTGCGTACCTGATTGCGGATCAAGTTTGAGTCACCTCAAAGGTGATCAATGCACATCATTGAAGTGCGCATCAAGTGTGGCCACTACTAAGCTACTGAGACACCAGGACATGAGATGCAGCACAGTGAAAGGGTGGTCTTCTGAGCTCAAATATGACAACACATTCCTATGAAGGCTCAGCCAGTGACCCCATGCTGAGGATGTTAAATGTCATGCAGCACAGTGGGTGCACGCTTCCATCACAGATGACAATATTATCTGCTGCAGGCCATTAGACTCAATTCATGAGGGAGTCCAATCTGGCCTTAGAAAACCCATTACAAAAGTTTGTTACACTCCATTACAAAAATTGTTACAGTCATTATAAAAGTGTTACACTACATAAGGAGAAGGAGGGTGTAATGAGAGAAGGAAAAGAGGAACGGTCAAGCACCTTCAGATGTTTAATACTCATGCACAGTGACAGCCTGCCCTAACATTGGACATCTAGGTCTTGTGATGATAGGCTAGATCCTGTGTCACTAGGCATCTAAATCTCATGGCAATAGGGTGTCTAGCAAATATAGCCATTCATGCAGCCACTGTGCTTCTCTTTGACAGCAAGGGTAGTAACATCCAAACTTTGCTCATGCTCACACTTTCTGGCTGAATTCTGCATTCAAGCCATATAAAAATTATTCTAAACACATGTGTGCACCCTTCATGTGTATGGAAGTTCAAATCTTCGAAGTCCAACATATGGTCTGCAATACATGTATGTACCAAAAGACAAAGGCAGCTACAGCATGATCAATTCAAGAGATTTCACAAGAGGAGTCCTGTGCAGCCAGTTGTATTGCCAGATGAGTGACCAGTGATGGAGGAGTTCATTCTGTGCCTACGGCTTCTGAGAAGTGCAGCATCATATGTAGCAGCATTGTCAACAATGCAAGTCATACTACTAAAAGAAAAAAAACACACAGAATCTGAACACCCTGAGTCTGCATATATCAGGATGTTAATACAAATTAGCAGCAGCATCAGATGCAAAGAGTCAATATGAACCAAATAGCAGATCACACATATCATATCATCATTCATCTGTGTGCACAGGCTGTGAGACAAAGTCTCTAAATGTGTCCTCAGAGTTGTTATCAGATGTACTAGATGAGGTAAGGCAATTGGCTTTATGAACTGTACTTTGCAGCATTTCACCTTTGTCAGAGATGCCAGCCACTGTGCATTGTAGAAGGATTGCAGAAGACCATGGACATATTGATGGCTGGATTTGGGCAATTTTGCTGACAGCTGTAACATGCAGGGCAGAGTCCAGTTTTTTCTAGCTTGAGGGGCCCTGGACATGACTTGATATGTGTCTATAGCATGACACAGATCATCGAGATCTTCATTGTGCCATGGAATTTGTGCGTGACAAATGACCTTAAATTTGTGACTGGCCTCAATGTTCATGTGATCTGAGCTCATGCCCATAATATCGAGCATGTTGAGAACATCCTCAATGTTACTCCAGAGCAGATGTGCTTCAGCCTTATTTGCATTTATAATGTTCATCCTCCTGACAAAGATCTGCATAGGATGGTGAGTGACAGCACTCTTCATTGAGTTGGGTCGAACAGTGTACTCCTTGGCACCATGTGTTACAGTGCAATGTTACATCACCTTCAGCTTTCTTCTGGAGTGCATCTGCTCTTTCTGCATTATGAAACTGCACATGCACTCACTGCAGCTTCACAGTACAAGAACATATGAGGTTAGACTGACTAATCGTGTTGCATTTGAAGACAAGAGGGAATTCCTGGCCAGATCAGATTTGCTGCAGGAACTCATGCAGTAACAGGAAGATTACTTCCTTGTTCCAGCATGAACTTAACTCATGCTCCAGTCTAAGAGAGGTTCATTGGCATCTGACCCATCACCAGAGCCATCTATGAAACCTTGCACTGCTGCTTGAGTGGCACTGCGAGGCAGCACATTGTTGACAGTTAAGACATGCTTTCCACGCAGATAATCTCGGAAATGAGCCTGTAAACATAATTAGACAATCATGATGAATCACTGTGTGCTCATGAAATATGAACATTGAACAGATTGTTATCTCAAGGACCTGTTTGACCCTGAGACTTGACTGCAGACATGTCTGTACTTGTGACCTCATCTTCATCTTCATGATATCCTCCTTCATTGATGTCCATCCCATTCAGGCCTTCTTTTGAGTGATGAGTGCAGTCATGGGCTTCCTTGCACTCAGCTTGCATAGCTGCCAGTGCCTGCTAAACACCTTCCTTGATCCCGTCTGATACAGCAGATGACATGGCTTGTATAAGCTTGAACAATGGGGCATTGTCACAGAACCCGCTGGCAATCCACCCAACAATTCAGATGGAGGTGTGCAGGTGTGAACCTGTAGCACACAAGATGGACAGACCAACTTAGGATAGGTGCACTGAGTGACCCCACTGTCCATGAGCCATGTGGCCAATTGGTTCTGAGCATGAGCGAGATTGGGCAAATGAGCAGCAGCAGTAGATGATTATCATTTCCAGAGGACTGTAGATTCTGCATGGAAAGTCACTTTGTGATCCTCATCATGGTTCTATGTATGTCATAGGCCCACATCAGTAAGCAGACAAGTGTGCAAAGAAAGTCAAATCACCACAAGCGAAGGGATGATCTCATTACCAAAAGCTGTGACCTCATCACCAGAGGAAAGCACCGTCTCATGATAATTCCTCGATCACATCAAAGTGCCACCAAATACTACCTAGAAGTGCAAGAAGTGAGACATATGGTTTTGTGAGCTAGATAAAGAACCTTGACAAATGTGAACCTGATGTGCAGCAGTTGCACGATGGGCAGACATGACTGACTTCAGTTCACAACAGAGAGCATCAGCCACTTGAAGTTCTTTGATCATGTCTTGCTTCATCTCATCATCTTCACTGTCACTTTCACATCCATGTGTGGCTTCATACATCTCCAGTTAGTCTACA